CTACCCTTTTCCCCTCCCCCCTTTCTCCTTAACAACCTCGTACCCCCAACATCAGTACCGAAAACCTTCTCCTTGTCTTGGAACCTCATAACCTTTCCCTCCCACAGGTGCTACCATAAACCTCTTCCTACAGCCTACTCCCTTTAATTAAGATTCAAACGCAGGAGGAATTTCCCAAGCCTATATAATATTTTCTTACGCCAGCCCTAACATTTACTGTGTGTACCGGCCGCTCTGGGGCTGGGGGGGTTGAACTTTGGCTCTTTGGTCCCGCCTCTCAACTGTCAATCAACTGTTGTATAGATTCCTGAGCCTATTGGGCTCTATCATATCTACATTTGAAACTGTGTATGGAGTCAGCCTCCACCACATCACTTCCTAGTGCATTACATTTATTAACTACTCTGACACTGAAAAAATTCTTTCTAATGTCTCTGTGGCTCATCTGGGTACTAAGTTTCCACCTGTGTCCCCTTGTTCGTGTCCCACCCGTCCTGAAGAGTTTGTCTTTGTCCACTCTGTCAATTCCCCTGAGAATTTTGTAGGTGGTTATCATGTCTCCCCTTACTCTTCTGTTTTCCAGGGATGTGAGGTTCAGCTCCTTTAGCCTTTCCTCGTAGCTCATTCCTCTCAGTTCCGGGACGAGCTTGGTGGCATACCGCTGAATCTTCTCTAATATTGGTATTGGTGTGTGTGTGTGTGTGTGTGTGTGTGTGTGTGTGTGTGTGTGTGTGTGTGTGTGTGTGTGTGTGTGTGTGTGTGAAATTGAAATTGAAATAAGTTTATTGATGTAAAATACACACAAAGGGATGAGGTAGCTCAAGCTATTCTCACCCCGTTCAGTACATCGTGTTAATACATACATATACACACATCACAAACAATAAACATATTACCAAACATTCTGAGAGATAAACATATACATTTCCTCCTTCACAAGTAGTATGGTATCAGACGTACACACAAATACTTTTATGGTGTGTGTGTGTTGTGTATATTCTGTGCTGTGTTGTAATGTGTTTTGTTGTATTGAGTGTTTTGTTGAATTATGCATGTTGTGTGTTTTGTGTTGTATCTGAAGGTGTTGAGAGAAAGATTTTAATAATGACTATAGAAATATCAGAGAAATACCAACTTTCATTTTTTCCTTAAAAACAAACCATCTAAAGATTACCCTTCATCTTCATCTTCAGTGCAATAAAAACTAATATAACTACCCATTAAAATATATCTTAATAACTTCTATTAAAAATTAGAAAACATTTTTATTTTTTGGTAGCCTAGCGATTAATTTCTAAGGTTTTGGTGGCGAGAAATATTTCCATGCACTTTCCACACCTAAAATTCTAATTATATGCCATAAAAGTATTCCGTTGATTAAAAACTCTGTCGAGAACATTAGCTTTTTTGGTGAATAAATGATTTAGTCAGTGCAAACTTTGTCGGTTAATTTGCATTTTAGCGGGTGGATGCAGCGCGGTGGTTCCCACTTAATCAAACACTTTCCTCCTCTTATTCCTTCTGGAAACACCATAAGGAACACGGCAAGTCGTTCCTTCTTATAAACCAAACAAAACTATGCAAAATTAACGAAAATCATTCACTATTGTAGCAATATCAATTGCTCAAATAATTTAAAGTGTTTAAACAAATTTATTTTGTATATGTAACAATATGTGAGTGAGAGGAGAAGATCAGGTGACTGTCGAATCAATTGACGTAAATTCAAAGATAGTGATAAGGATTGTAATGTTGTGTACCTTGACTTTAGCAAAGCTTTTGACACAACCTATCATAGTATAAATAAAAATGGAAATGTTCGTTTGTGCATAATCGCTAATCTCCGAAAGTTCTTCACCGATTGCTTTGAAATTTTCACACAACGTTCCATTCGCATCCGAGCAGGTTTTTATATACATACTATATAGATGTCACGTCTGTGACGGTAAAAAAAAAATGTTTTTTTTTTCTGAAAAACTTTTTTTTTATGTTTTTTCATGTGAGGGAAATCTTCGAAACCTCTTTACCGATTGCTTTGAAATTTTGACACAACGTTGCATTCGAATAGGCGCGTCTTTTTATATATCTACTATATACATGCCTCACCTGTGACAGGAAAAAACATGCTTTTTTTGAAAAACAGCGCCATCTGTTGGACGTAAGAGCAACACACGCTGTAATCTCCGAAAGTTCTTCACCGATTGCTTTGAAATTTTGACACAACGTTGCATTCGAATAGGCGCGTCTTTTTATATACCTACTATATAGATGCCACCCCTGTGACAGGTAAAAACATGCGTTTTTGAAAAACAGCGCCATCTGTTGCACATAATAGCAACATGCACGCTATACTAAATATGTCACGAATTCCATTTCAATGTTTCCGATTGCATTGATAAATTTTATTTTCATAGATTTCGATTTATTTTATTTTTATTGAATTATTTTGTGTGACATTGTGTTGGAATTGAGCTGTGTTGTTTACCATACCGTTCATTTCGTAAGTATAAGTATAGATGCCACACCTGTGACAGGTAAAACTATGCTTTTCTTGAAAAACAGCGCCATCTGTTGCATGTAAGAGCAACACACATGCTATACTAAATATGTTACAATTCCATTTCAATGTTTCTGATTGCATTGATAAATTGAATTTTCATAGATTTTGATTTATTTTCATTTTGATTTAATTATTTTGTGTGAATTGCATTGGAATTGAGCTGTGTTGTTTACCATACCGTTCATTTCGTGAGTATAGTTTATTTTTATATATCTTCATATTTTCCTTTCATTTTTTAACCGTTTTTCTTGTATTTCAGTGATGGGAACATCAGATCACTTGATGTTCCCAGTTTACTGATGGGAACATCAGACCATTTGGGAAGGCATCGGACCAGAGAGTGGGGAATGGTGGGGATGACGAGGGGACGGAAGTGAGAGAGATGGTGGGGAGGACGAGGGGACAAGGAAGGGGGGTAAGGTGGGGAAGAACGAGGGGACGGGGGAGTTTGGGATGGTGGGGACGAAGGGATGGGGGAATGGAGACTGGTGGGGAGGACAAAGGGACAGGGGAGTGGGGCATGGTGGGAAGGAAGAGGGGATGGTGGAGTGAGGAATGATGGGGAGGACGAGGGGACGTTGGAGTGGGGAATGGTTGGGAGGCCGAGGAGACGGGTGAGGGGGGAATGGTGGGGAGGACTGAGGGGACAGGGGGGACTAGGTACCACCACTGGTGTAATTGTAGGGACCCATAGGTTGCTGTAGTATTTAAGTAATACTAAAAGTAGCATTTGACACTCTCTTCCTTATATATCGTAGCAACAGAGAGTTGCTCTCTTCCTCCTTCCCACCTCATTCTTCTCTCCGTCGGTCCTTTCCCACCTGCAGCCACAACTTCCCCGATTTTTATCTCTGGAATGTCTTGTTAATGAGGTAAAGATTTGAGACACCGCTCCCCCAAAACGGTCTCAGAGCGCCCATTGGGGGCGAGGCAGTGTTGGCGGCGTGACACCTTGTGTGTTGTGCTTGCTCTTCACACAACCCGGCCTCACGCATAGCTTTTCTATGTGTATGCTATACTTTAGGTTAGGTTAGGTTACCCGGCCTCACGCATAGCTTTTCTATGTGTATGCTATACTTTAGGTTAGGTTAGGTTAGGTTAGGTTAGGTTACCCGGCCTCACGCATAGCTTTTCTATGTGTATGCTATAGAACAAGAGGCATACCAAATTCAGTTGCTTTATTGGATATAGGTAATCCAATTTGCACGATAACTTTCACCAATTAGAATCATCAGCATCGATAGGCTATAGATGTGTTGGTGTAAATAGGCTTTTTGGTCAGGCAAACAGCGTGCAAATATTAGGCTGTAGGTTAACAGATACATTCACAAGTTAACCACATTTTCGACTTACCTCATTTTCAATTTTTCCATGCTTTCAAGTTATCAATATTCTACAGTTATCTACAATATCAAATTTTCATACTCAAGTTATCATCCGGAAACTAAAGTTAAAAAGTATAACTTTTTTTTGTGGAAAAAAGTTAAAAAGTATAAGTTTTAGAAACTGTTTTAATCACATTTTTGTAATGAAGATTCCGAGAACAGTCACTGCCGTATAAAAAAAATACAATACATAATAATACAATACACTAACGACCACTGGTGTGTCTAAAGCACAAATCATCTCTAGATTTCTGGTGCTCTTCACTTGGGAAGGAAGTTGAAAATTTAACTCTCCAATGTTCAATATATAATTGTATTTGGCATGGCCAGTTTGACTAAAGCACTCTTCAACATCATCAGAGGCAGAGAACAAAAAAAAATATGCTGAAAATTTAAAAAAACGAAACCAAAGGAAGCAGGAGACATAGAAGGATGAAACAGGAGCAGAGAAAACACCCACGACTCCCAGCTAAGATCACATTCTTGTTTCGTCTTGAGCTGGAAGCTACCGAGCAGAAATCTTTTGAACCTTGTTCCTGGCTAACAGCTCTCCCACTCACAGCTCAGTGTCTGAAGGCTAAGAGCTCTCTTACTCTCCCTATTGTAAACTTCAAGTTTACATCATCTTCGTAGATAATAACTTTCTTTTACAATCCTGGCAACTCCTCGCTCTCCTCTTTCACTGACAATAGTTTTAATATTTCGCTTCTAAAATTAAATTTGAACCTATATTTTGTAGTTTAGCAGTGTTAGTCTTAGCCTTGACCAGTTTTGGAGATGGCTTTTATTAAGGAATATCATAAATTCATTAAATTGCAAACAAAATGATTAAATCAATAAGCCTGCCCATCGTCAACAATAATCATAATTACATTTATAGTTTGAAACCCCCATTTATTTTATAGAACCACAGCTTGATCATATTTTCTAAACATACCTGATTTTCAGAAAATATGATCAACCATGCTGTTGTTGTGCACGAAGCAGCCTGGTACATGGGAATGAGGATGTGTGCGCGTCAACACTGTCGAGGAAACATAACATGTTTTACACACCTGTTTGTTGTTGTTGGTGTGTGTTGTTGGCGTCCTCAGTGTTGCGGCTGTCCTTGGAGGTGTCCTTGGAGGTGTCCTTGGAGGCGTCGTCAGAGGGCGCCTCCATCCAGGAGTCGGGTATCTGGGGGTGTGATGGACACTGACTGGACCCCAGAGAATGGGGATCCGACCCCCACTCACCGATACGTGAACTGTCCGCTCGGTCATTCTCTGGGAATGTTTTTACAAATAATATCTCGATAGACTGGAAATGGTCACACTGTACACACGGGAGCGAGTTACACGTTTGTACCGGGCGCTGAGACTGGTGCTCGTTCTGATTTCCGTCATACACTACACTCTCCAGTGACTCATCAGGTTCTGATGGGTGCTTAGCCTGGTGTTCTTTCTGATCACCATCACACTCCGCGCGGTTTGACTCTGAATAGCTTACTAAATTGCATCGCAAACAACTTTTATAAACACGAGTTTCAGCACCACAGGATTCACCGTCTCTCCCACCAGCCGTCTCCGATTCTACGGATCTATAGTCACTATGAGTCAAATTTCCCTTCCCGTCTATTCTGTGACGCGCTAGTGATCTGTTCACACAGGTGCTGCCAGTACCGGGTCCCGAACGTTGTTTAATCCCGTCAGGTTTGGTGATATCAAACACCCCCAGCAGGTGTTTGCCGTCTTCCATGAGGGAGTCTGCCAGTGATGGCAAATCATCTTCAGGAGGCCTCTGGTGTCTCGGGATAGTTGCTTGGTGATTGATGCTGTGGCTGGGATGGTTGACAGGTCCCACCAGGGATGAACCGTCGTGTTGTGCTTGTGTCGTTGACTCGCTCAGGCTCGTCGGGTCTTGTGCAGTTCCCTTCACTGCCAGACTGCTCAGTCCGGACTCCCTTGTCTTGGTGTTGGTGCACATGACTTCCCCTCCTTGATGGAAACTCATCGAGGAGTCAGAACAGTTGGTGCCATCTTGAGTAGCCGGTACATCGAGGGTATTGGGCGGTGACTCTTGCTCCTGGAACAACCCCAGAACTGCTTCACTGGGGGTGACCGGGTCGCGGTAACTGGAGATAACCGACGCGTCACGTGACCCCTCGCGCCCACGGAAGTCGAAGACGCCCAGGACACTGCGACTGCGCTTAGCCTCAATCAGCTCCACAATGTGCGCCCCTCCATCACCCTCACTAGGTAAGGAGGAAGGTGGGCGACACATGCAGGAGTCACTGCTCTTCCCCTCGTCACTGTCGCTGTCACTGTCGGTAACACTGCCGCGAGGCCGTCTGGCGTTCACCAATATTCGCCGCTGTTTTCCCTTTGCGTTCTGACCGCTAACCGCACTGCGCACATTCCGGCCAGGCGCGGCAGTGTCCAAATAACTCGCACCTTTCCTCTTGGCTTTCCCGCCCGCTGAGGCCGCCCGGTCACCCGGCTGTCTTGGGCTGCTGACGAAGTCGGCGGAAGTGTAGAAGACCTCGAGCACTTCGTCGCTTGCCCAGTGTGTGGGGGCGGCGCTAGCAGAGGGGGACGTGGCCAAAGAGGAGCTGTTGCTGCTGCTGCTGCTGGCTCCTGCATACATCCGGCACCGCCACTCTGTACACACAAAAATAAACAAATAAATCCCCAGTTACCATAATACACTTGTCATTTGACAAGATGTAAAGTTGCCGTATGGCATATGACAAACTTCGTGTTGCTAGGTAAAAGCATAGATGAATGGGTCAAAGGGCTTAACGCCATTACCACCAAACCATCATAATAAACATGACCATTAACACGCGGCATTAGCGCGGGAGAGTGAACATCCCCGCACTCCACACTTCACAAAAATCAAAGACCGCAAGTTCGATCCCATTTTTACAGCCTAAATGTCTTCTCACTATGCTTCTCAACACCGCGTTACCAACCTTTCACAATTTTGTGTTTCTTATTGCATATAAAACTTGATTTACTTTACATTTCCCGCTCCCTCTTCAGGACTGTCTGAGAGTCCATCTTGACGCAGCAAGCAGCCAAGTTAACTTACCCTGATATCATTATTTTGATCCCTCTGGCGCACCGAGACACTCCCACTGCTGGAGCATCAAAAACCTTTCACTAAACACAGTTCAACATTGAAGTTTAAAGCAGGGAATGAGATTAAGTTGATATAAGTCTAGCTGTGTGTAAAATGTTGCTCGAGCTATAGGCGTTATATCACTCTAAGTGCTATAGAGATGATGTACACACTAATAGAGCCACAGACGTGATGTACACACACTAATAGAGCCACAGAAGTGATGTATACACACTAATAGAGCCACAGAAGTGATGTACACACACTAAAAGAGCCACAGAAATGATGTACACACACTCCAGACGCCATAGCATCTCCTCTGATAAGGAACAAGACGAACATAATTTCTCAAACTGAGCTGACTTAAGTAACAAGTTGACTCACTACTGAAGAGGGAGGAGGAGAACTGGGGACTGAGATGAAGTAATGTGTTTTATGGTACTACGACCAAAGTATGAATAAAATTTTTCAATTTTCCTGATATCAATGATTTTTTTTTTAATATTTATTCTCAATATATTTGCAAAGATTCTAATAGTTCCCACTCTGTCTTGGAGTCTGTGGCAGGGTGGTAGGTCTGTGCATTCGGTTGGATGGGCAGAAGGGAAAGTGCTGTGTTGAAGTTCCCTATTTTATGGTACTACGGCCAAAGTATGAATATCAGAACATTTCTGTTAATTTTCCTGATATCAGTGATTAATGTTGTAAATTACTATCAGATTTTTTTTCAGAATATTTAGTTAGGTGTAGCCGGCGAACATTGTCCTGGAGCCAAATAGGAGCTGCCTCATATTAGCCAATAAGGAGCTGCCTCGTATGAACCAATAGGGAGCTGCCTCGTATGGACCAATAGGGAGCTGCCTCGCATGGACCAATAGGGAGCTGCCTCGTATGGACCAATAGGGAGCTGCCTCGTATGGACCAATAGGAGCTGCCTCGTATGGACCAATAGGAAGCTGCCTCGTATGGACCAATAGGGAGCTGCCTCGTATGGACCAATAGGGAGCTGCCTCATATGGACCAATAGAACCTGCCTCGTATGGACCAATAGAACCTGCCTCGTATGGACCAATAGGGAGCTGCCTCATATGGACCAATAGAACCTGCCTCGTATGGACCAATAGGGAGCTGCCTCGTATGGACCAATAGGGAGCTGCCTCGTATGGACCAATAGGGAGCTGCCTCGTATGGTCCAATAGGGAGCTGCCTCGTATGGACCAATAGGGAGCTGCCTCGTATGGTTCAATAGGGAGCTGCCTCGTATGGACCAATAGGGAGCTGCCTCGTATGGTCCAATAGGGAGCTGCCTCGTATGGACCAATAGGGAGCTGCCTCGTATGGTTACTAGGCCTTCTGTAGTTACCTTAATTCTTATGTTATTTAAGGGCGCCGTGAAGTAGCTGTCCAAGGAAGATGAGAGGCAGCTGTGACGTTCACCTCAGACATAACTACTGCCTGGGTAGAGCTTGTGCTTGGAGGGAGGGGGGGGGAGGCCTGGTCGACGACCGGGCCGCGGGGACGCTAAGCCCCGGAAGCACCTCAAGCTAACCCCCATCTCAAGGTAAGGAGAATGTTAGGTCTGATCACAGCCATCAGGAGAGCGAGAATTAAGGGAATTATCAGAAAGCACTAAGCCAGAATGATTATATAGCCTTTAGAAGGGATGTGAGAACGTGGAACTGGGATGTGACGGAGGGAAGGGATGGTGTCCAAACCCCTTGGATTATCGGAGATCGAACGCCGACCTGCATGAAGTGAGGTCGTCGCTGTGCCGACCAATTCAAGAGGTTTTGAGAGAGGGAAGGCTATTTAATGTCTCCACTAGTCGGCCAAGATATCGAAAGCTTCATTGACGGGAATGAAAATTAGTAAAAAAATCTTGCTTCAATAAACTCGCCCCTCGGGGCAAAATTTAAAAAAAATTAAAATTTCTGTAAAGCTGTCAACTTGAACGGAGGCAAGACCTGGCCAAAGACACCCTATAATCACACACAGAGATCACACTAACGTGATGCATCAAATGAACAAATCCACAAGGGCCGTGACGAGGATTCGAACCTGCGTCCGGGAGCATCCCAGACACTGCTTCTCGTCACGGCCCTTGTGGATTTGTTCACCCTGTAATCATTACACACAGAAATCACAATAGCCTGATGCATCAAATGACCATATCGTAGCTCAGTCGATTGATGCTCTCGGACGTAGGTTCGAATCCTCGTCACGGCCCTTGTAGATTGGTTCACCTTGTAGTCATCTTCTCTACAGGCGTGCACACGTGCGCCAGCACTAGTATGTGTCACTACGCGTATATGAGGGTGTATATAATACCTATTGGTGTTTGCAGCATGGAGCTTTAGCTCTTGGACCCCGCCGCTGGTTGTCTAATGCAATGACTACTATATTATTCTGTCGTATATACTTGTAAAGTTATGAATGTAGTCTGCTTATACAATCTACTCCTTTAATTTAATCCATTTTCCCACTACTCTTACGCTAAAAGATAACTTTATAACATATCTGTGGCACATCTGAGTCTCAAGCTTCCGCCCATGCCCTCTTGTTCTATTGAGAGTCATTGTGAACATCTTTCTTCACTTTCTCAATTCCATTAGTACTTTTTTAAGTATCACTGATGTCTTCCATCTTTCTCCCCGTCTCTAGCGATGTCTGGTCTAGCTCCTTCAGTCTTCATAACTTATCTCTCGCAGGCGGTGTTCAGCGATCTAAATGTCTCCTTATTTAGGTTTCTGAATGTGCGTTCATACGCGTGTATGTAAACGCGCGTTCATATGCGCGTTTGTGTATGCGCGCTCGTACGTGTCTACACGCGTTACTACATATGTGTGTGAGCTCGTTGGTACATGTACGTGCGTTCGTATATATGTGTGCATGCGTATGTGCATTGTGTGTGTATGTGTACGGACACTCGTACGCATGTGTACACATGTGCGTGTACGCTCGTTCGTAGGTGTGTATGCGTACGCGCGACCGTTTGTGGACGCAAGCAGGTGTGTGTGTTTAACACACATGTGAACGGCGGCGGGACGACGCAGCAGCGGAATAGGTCGCTACCACAGCAAACAAACAAGTGAAGGTGCTTGGTATATATATAGCATGCAAAACAAAACAAAAAAATGCAAAAAAAAAAGTCATAAGGTTGTATATATTTGTCCTCGTAGAGCGAACTGACACCAGCGAACATGCAACAGTCCTGGAGCCAGATTCACGAAGCATTACGCAAGCACTTACGAACGTGTACATCTTTCCTCAATCTTTGGCGGCTTTGTTTACAATTACTAAACAGTTAATGATCTTCGAAGCACCTGGAGGCTGTTTATAACAATAACAACAGTTGATTGGGAAGTTTTCATGCTTGTAAACTGTTTAATAAATGTAACCAAAGCCGTCAAAGATTGAGGAAAGATATACACGTTCGTAAAAGTGCTTGCGTAACTGCTTCGTGAATCTGGCCTCTGCAATGCAGGTCAAACACACTCCCACAAGCCTGGGTTACTTGGTTAACCTGGCGCTGGAGGTGTTTGCTGCCAGCATTACCTTAAAATTTCAGACGCTGGAGGTGTTTACTCGCGCTTTAAATTTTTTTGTCACCTTTGCAGCATATAGCGACCATATTACTAATACACAAACTGTTTTTTTATCATAACAAAATATCACACGGCGCTAATTTCTCAGAAAAACACTATAATAATAATAATAATAATAATAATAATAATAATAATAATAATAATTATTATTATTACAATAATACTAATATTAGTATTATTAATATTACAATAACGTAATAATGCTCATAATTATTATTATTTTTACAATGCGTTTCTGAGAAATCAACGTCGTGTGATATTTTTTATGATAAAAAACAATGTGTATTATTTAATTTTGAACATGAGGCTCCGAAGCCTAGCTCAATGGGTCGGACATGTGCAAAGTATTAAGCCAATAGAAAGTGGCACTATAACTTCTATTATGGTTAAAGCTATTGCATTGTACATTACCATTACTCCTATAATTACAACTACTATTGTTGAGCTAACCGGAGGTGGCGGTGTTGACATGGTGGCTAGGGTCCGCTTGCTGGGTGATGGCAGGGCCGTCCATGGAACAGGTAGTGGAAGGGTCGCCCTTGAAGCAGGTGGTGGCAGGGTCGCCCTTGAAGCAGGTGGTGGCAGGGTCATCCTTAGAGCAGGTGGTGGCAGGGTCATCCTTAGAGCAGATGGTGGCAGGGTCGCCCTTGAGGTGGAGGTCGAGGCCACTCATCAGTGTTGGCAGAAGGCCCACAAACTGCTCGTCCTGGAGACTCAGCAGCTCGGCGGCCACCGCGGACCCGCCACCTTCCCAAGAGTCCGGACGTGATGCTGAAAGCGATGACGCTTCGAAGTCTAACCTGAAGGGCACTGGATTCTTCATAGTGTTACTGGATTCATCAGTGCTTGTTGAGTCTGTGTTAGTCTCATACAAACGATCCATATTAATTTTACTTATCACCATTGATTCTGGATTGTTCAAGAACAATTCAACTTCTTCACTTTTCTCAGAATCAAGAGATAGGGCACTAGTTTTAGCTCTCAGCTCCAGGGAAGGACACGAGTCTTCGCTCTCACTATCAGAGTCTGGGTACATTTTGTGTAAAAGAAAACGTCTCTCACTTTTCGTCGACAGAAAACGAGATTTGCGTCTCGAGGGAGAACTACTGTAAGAGTCGAGTCCCCCTGCACCACCAACCCTAGGCGCACTTTGAGACAATGGTAAGGCTCCGTCGCCAACATTTATACGAGCCTTATACATTTCGGTAGATAGAGGATGAGTGGTGAAGTTAACTGGGGGTGGCGTACCAGTGGTACCTGTGCTACCACTGTTGCAGTCACTCTCTGAAGGTACGTCCTCGGTCACACTGACCCTCCATGTTTCCCTCCGTCCCGTCTGACTGGCGGCTGCGTCCTTACAACCATCCGTTGACCCGTCCTGGTCTCTTGTGCGCGAATATGACAACTCTACCGACATTTCCGTCTTCTTCCGTTTCGAGGAGCTTTCGCAGACTTTTCCTTCAATTCTTAGGCTGTTGCAATTAATTCCAGTTTCAGATTGACTGGTATCTTTGAGGATGTCACCAGCTGGAGCATGACTGCGAGTCTTGACTGCCGCTCCGTCATCGGGCGACTGTTGCCACAGCCTGGAGGAGCAGAGTGTGGCACCAGGCAACCGCTGCCACACAACTGATGATGAAACTGAGGCCTCTTCTGGCTCATAGGAAATACCAGTAAGCTCTCGTGTTAATCTTTTTGGACGGTGTGAGGAGGTGGCTGACTGATATGAGGGAGTGGCTGACTGGTGTGAGGGAGTGGCTGACTGGTGAGAGGGAGTGGCTGATTGGAGTGAGGGAGTGGCTGATTGGAGTGAGGGAGTGGCTGACTGGAGTGAGGGAGTGGCTGATTGGAGTGAGGGAGTGGCTGACTGGAGTGAGGGAGTGGCTGACTGGTGTGAGGGAGTGGCTGACTGGTGTGAGGGAGTGGCTGATTGGAGTGAGGGAGTGGCTGACTGGAGTGAGGGAGTGGCTGATTGGAGTGAGGAAGTGGCTGACTGGAGTGAGGGAGTAGCTGACTGGAGTGAGGGACTGGCTGACTGGAGTGAGGGACTGGCTGACTGGAGTGAGGAAGTGGCTGACTGGAGCGAGGGAGTGGCTGACTGGTGTGAGGGAGTAGCTGACTGGTGTGAGGAAGTGGCTGACTGGTGTGAGGGAGTGGCTGACTGGTGTGAGGGAGTGGCTGACTGGTGTGAGGGAGTGATCGATCTGTGTGATGAAGTAGCTGGGTGGTGTGAGAGCTGGGCATTGTGTACCAAGAGTCCCTCGAGATAGAGAGCCCGTGACAGATGCTCCTGGCTACTGAAGACCACATCAGGTATGGCGGTGGGGGCCACACCTCGAGTAGTACCGGGAGTCGCCCTTCCATTGTGGCCACAGCCTACCTCCGTCTTCTCCCTCTCCTCCTCCTCCTGGTGTACAGTCTCTCTCCAGGTCTCCCGACCACTTTGCACACTCCGTCGGTATTCACACTCCGTCACAAAGCAAAAATTTCCGGATCTTATTTCCACACCTGTGGTCCCCACATCTCCTTGCATCTGCTGGGACTCCCGCTCCTTGCGGAACTCCTCTGGGGGCGTGATAATGACATCCTCAGTTACAGGAGACGAGGACGACGAGGAACATACTTTAACACATCGAAAAGCATGCGGACCCGACGTTGCTATCGGGTCCGAGTAGCGTGGTGGTAGTGATGATTCGGGGGACGTGGGGGCGGTGTATATGGTGGTGGGACACAGGTGGCGATGGTCAGCCGCAGAGCTCACAATCCCCACTTCCGACTCAGGAAACTGCTCTTCTTCCAGCGAGAAGTCGCGGAAGAAGAGGTCAGGGCGCCAGTTGTCAATACCTGGATGGCGCTCCCAGTACAGCTTGATCATCTGATCCTCCTCCTCCTCCTCCTGGTGCGTGTTGGTGGCCTCGCCTTCACTCTGGCACCCCTGCAAACTGGATAAGAGACTGTGCCTCGACTGAACGACGTTGGTGGAATTAAAACAGCGTAATACACGATCTAACATGGTGTCCTCCGGCACTAAGAGGGGCAGGCCATGTAGGTGGCAGTGTCTCTCTGCGACTAGGCACTCGGCCGAGCCCTGCCATGGCACGAGTGATGATGATGACTGCTGCGAGGAGCTGGAGTCACAGTCACTGGCATAAAGGGGCTGGAGGCCAGCTGGGTCAGCACCATCTCTCACATTGTCACTATCAACAACGATGGATAGGCTGGATTCACCACCCACGTGGCCGCTGGCAACACCACAAGATTCTAGACAAATACTTCGCTCTTCACCATGACAAAGGTCCACACTAAACTCTGTACTGGAATGTTTTGAACCTTTATTTTCGTCTGCCTTAATAAGAACGGAGTTATTATCGGTGGTACATGATTCAAAGGAAGTACAGCAAGAATGTCTTGCAGTTGAAGAGATCTCAATAGGAGTAGTTTCCCGCGAGTGGACCAAGGTGCAGATGTTTTCAGGACTGTCACTATGAACCAGCTGAGCGTGGTACAAGGAGCTCCTGCTCTCAGTGGCGGCCCTGGTGGTACTCTCTGGAGGGCTTCGTTCCCCGACCCAGAACTTAGTTGATCCCAGACTGCGACGAGGTGCTGGAACTGGTCGACGACCTGTTACAACTGCTGGGAGACAGAGAGGGAGAACATATCACATTATAATTCAAAAACAAAACTTGCTTTCCGTACCTTTCCGCTCCTTACCCTAGATACATAACCTAAATTCCTGTACTAACACAGTCACAAAACACTTGATTTACTGCACAGCCCTATTGCTACACAGTGGTTTTCAAGAATATTTATACAACTTATGTCAGACCAATCCTATAATATGTAGCAACACCATGAAAATTGGTAAATGGTCAGAGCTGTGAAGATAGGGCTAAGGGAACTCACTCTAACAACTGCAAAAGAAAGAACTAGAGGGAATTTGATTACCACATACAAAATATTGAGGGGGAATAGCCCTGAAGCACGTGACAATCTTTCTAAATAGAGCCAAAATAGAAGAAGAGCACACGCGGGGAAAGAGTTGACATCGCAAATAAGCAAGAGCAAAGTATGAACAAATCCACAAGGGTCGTGACGAGGATTCGAACCTGCGTCCGGGAGCATCCCAGACACTGCCTTAATCGACTGAGCTACGACAGGGTATGAAAGTATGAAAGCAAAGTATGAAAGCCCTTGGTGAGGGTTGTCAAGAAGTGGAATGACCTGAGAGAGGTAGTGGAAGCCACCTCCCCCTCCAACACCACACTCACGAGCACCAGACAACCAACTCAAACATCAGAAGACTGAATGTAAACGATACAAGGTACTACTTACCGCAGGCACCAATAGG